TGATGTTGCTGTAGTCGAACGGTGAGACGGACGTGTAGTTCAGTTTTGGGCACGCGTACGGTGCTGCAGGGATTATATATAGGTGTAGTAGTACCTCTTCGGGCTCTTGGATACCTTTTTCTTGCTACGTGTGCGTGTTCTTTAGATCCTCAGATGGCTCTAGCACTTTCGTGACCACGGGCTGAGAGTCTTTGCTAGATTTTGGCATTTAGCAACTGGCATACGGTTTAATGTGAAGTCAACAACAACAACAACGTCGGCCATCTAATTCGCGAAGCATATTATTTGCTTCGTTCAACCCGACTTGTAAGAGAGAGACACCCTGCATGGTTGGGAGCAGCAGGGTTCGAAACGCCGACCAAATACTAGTATAACAGAATAGTTGCTGCATTCCAGGATGATTTCAGCAGACCTGCACTTTAATAGCCCAGTTTCTCCGCAGGGTTGATTGTCCGCTCCAACCAAAAGGCGCCAAAAACGCGAGCCATAAGTAACTATGGCAGCCGACACACCAACACAACAGAACATATCAAACCGGTCGCCCCGGTGGTCTAGTAGGTAACTTCGCGGCCTGCCAAGGGCCAGGTCATGGGTTCGAGTCCCGGCAGAGTGAGTCTTTTTCTCACTAAATAAATGCTGGTCTAGGATGAAAGCGACGCGCTGAAAAGCTGGTCGTTAGTAAACCATAATCGACTTCGTAAGTCGCGAGGGAAGGGATTGCTGTACCCTCCTCGCGAAAAAAATACCTCAGGCAGGAACCGCAGGAGGGGGTCCAGTCCCCCCCTCCTATCTATGTGACCCCGGTTGGGTCGTCTAGCTAGTAGAAGTGGAGGATAGGGGCCAGAGGGGCAGACGACAGTGTCCAATGATGGGAAAAAAAAATACCAGTAGTCTATAATATAGTCGTGACCTCGTCTTTGCTTTATTCTGTTTTATTTTGTCTTTTGTTTTGTTCTGGCACGTACCCCCGCCCCTTCCTTTGGCCGTCGACCTGCCTCCATGTAGTGGGAGGCTACCCCCCCAGGCTGGTGGTGCGGCCGTTCCACTAGTCTAATTATTTATTTTATTTTATTTTATTTGTTTCTGATTATATTTTGTTTTCTTGTATTTTATCGCTCTGCTGACCCTTGGGGTCCATTTTATTTTGGTATACCTTTTCTAGGTACGTTAGCCTGTGACCACGGAAATTGGCCGAGTCAAGTGATGGATTAGTACGGAGAGATTGAGACA